GGGAAGTTAATTTGTTCGAAAACTGTAAAGGGTAATGTTTCTTTCTGCGCTATTTTATGTTAATAATATTAAAAATAAATAAACCAAATCACAGATATATAAAAGTAGAAATTTTTTAAGTTAAAAATGTGCAAAAAAAAATAAAGAGCAAACCACTGACTCATTGTTTTGTGTATTAATGTAATACTCTAGAAACTGATAAACTATTATTAAAAACTAACTTCTCAATTAAATGACATTGTGTAACAAAAAACTTTACCTCAGTGTCAACTAGCGACATCTGGTGAGCAGAAAATTATTAGCCCTCATTGCCTGGTAAGACATTCATAAGACAAAATGGGGTGATGGATTCTTTTGAGGAAACCCTAGGAAACCACACGATTACCATACTTATAAGCACAAAAAGTACGTGCAGTGGCGGTGTGAGAATATCCACTGGCTAGCCCATATCATCCATCCTGTGGGTGTCGGTAAGAGGCGACAGGGGTAAACAAAGTTAAGGGTAAACAGGAGTCATGTTTTTACATAATAAATTAAAAATTCATACTATGTAAAAATTTTCAAGAAAATAAATGCTTTGGATATAACGATTACTTTCCCCCCAATGTATGTTACTCAGAAATGCCGTGGCAGCTCAGATGGTTTGCGCTTGCTATAATAAATTTCACCATACACGAGCAATCCGGGTCTGATCCCCGCCGGCACCAATGAAATTGTTAATTGCCGGCACCAATGAAATTGTTAAGTGCTGATTTATCACGTGCTCGTCGGTGAAGGAAAACATCGTGAGGAAACCTGCATGTCTGAATAAGAAAAAAAATATTTCGAAGACGTGAAGTTCGCTAACACGCATTGTGGGGCTGCGCGGCGGATACTTGTCCTAAAACCCTCTCAGAAATGAGAGATCTGTGCCAAGCAGTGGGATGTATATAGGCTATAACGTTAAACTTTTTTTAAGGCTTTCCAGAGAGAGGACACGTCACTCTTCCTAACGTTTGCCATGAATATAGTGCACGATTATAGGTGGGTGACAACAAATTATGATTCAGGCGTAATGGGAAATAAAAACAACCTATTTTTAGCAAATAAAAGAAATCATAAAATTTTAGCTAAGGTAAGCTAAACTAATAGGTAAATTTCTTATAGTGGATAGCTAGTTATGCATGATTACACATAAATACAAGTATGGTTTAGCTTCAGGCAATTTAATAAATCTCCAGTGCTGATGAGATACAAACGGAAAAAGTTAAAAGTAGTGATATTTTTTGTTTTATTATTTTATTTTAAGTACCTACTAATTTTATAACTTCGGGAGCACGAATGTGCAGTTAAGAATCTAAGCCAAAATACAGAATGGTTGAAGCGGCTAATCCACATTTCTCTATTTAATTTCGGCCTTCATTAAAATTTTGAACATTGCAAAATGTGCGGTGAGAAGTTTAAGTTCGAAACAGTGTTCAAAGACGATAGTAAAATGGGCATAAACAGAAGTTATAGCAGGAATTATATACTCTGGTGCTAGATATATCCAGCTTAATAATGTTCTTCCCTATTCTCCATAGGCAAGAACCTCCCGCTGTATCTCTGCGGTTGTATAAAGTAGTTAATAATCAAATTTGCCAATGGTGGCACATACGGCGAAGCATTGTATGGTTGAGGCTGGGAAAGAAGGGGTCGAGCAAGCAAAACTTATTCGATCAGATTGTCATAGTCCGTGTACGCAAAGCAAAGTGGTAGATTGTTCTCTTCGTTCTTACGTACAATTTGCCGAAGGGTATGTATGGTCTACGGTGTGGTACGGAGGCTAGAAAGTCGTATTCTGCGTGCGAGATGATTCGTAATGACTCGAAAGCAGCACGACGACGCGGCTCAGTAGGGACATCGGTCTGAAGTTCTTCAAGAGAGCGTTGTCGCCTTTATTGAAGAACAAGACTACTGCACTTTTCCTCCACGCCTCTGAAATAGTGCCACCATGGAGGACGGAATTGAAGAATTCACCGTTACGAACGTGAAATCTACAATTCGTACGAATGAAAACGCGGACGCAGATTGTTTCAAATAAAACAATATTTATATATATATTTTTTATTCAACAATCTTTTCTTAAGCTAATAAAGGCTTGGTAAATATTTACAAGGCTTCATTATACGGCAAGGTAAAAAAACTATCCATACACACTAAAGATCCAACTCTTGCGATATCACATATTATTCACGAGTACTTAGCTCACGCTCAGGGTATATAAACATTTTGCTTATTTTCAATAAATAATAAATAAATATTATAACATTTAAGTGTATTTATGACTAATGCAAGCAATATAACGAAGCCAGTTATTGATAAACTAATATAAATATAGTATCAAGCTAAACTGATTAAATTCAGCACAATTTATCACTTGGGAAATAATCTATGTAAAAAACAAATATTAAAACTCTCCTATTACGATTACAACAATAACAAATACGCAGATAGTTTGCTTTTATCAAAATATTAATCTCACTTACATTTTTTTTAAATAATTAAACTAAATACCCCGCATAGAAGGGGATACGAAGCTATAAACACACACTAGGCCAGATTTTGGGAGCAGTTACAAGACGTAACCCACATAAAAGATCTTGCTATTCCCTAGCAGTTGTTAAATAATTTGCTAAAATGGATAGGTACAAATTGGATGAGCAAATAAAACTTTTATATTTATACTAGACATCGTTAAAATTTTACTTAGATAATGGAATACGACTTAAGTTTAGTAAGCAAAAAATCAATAACAAAATGTTTAGTGTATTAGTTATTTTTCCATATTTCAGGCTGTTAAGATTTATTACATATAACAAGACACCTATATATGAAAATGATTGACGGTAATTTCTACCACAATTTATAATTTAAAGAACGATGTAAAAATAATACAAAAGGAAATTATTAAAGTTACATTATTTATGAAATAACAATCTTTAGGCATTTTTATCAATACACTCATTTAGTACACAGTATTTACAAACAAAACTGTAGTTGGAATTCAACCTGTTTATACATGTTAAATATTGTCATGCAAGTGTTTCTACATAATTTAATATAGTCCCCCACATTTATCATAGCACCATCCCATAATATGTGAGTGTACTTTAAAACTACATTGATAGGTAATCTATTTTTGAAGTACAATCACAGGTCATCCTTAAGAGCATCATAATTCACAACACTATGCACACCAACTGTACGGAACTGAATCCTTAGCAAAATATATAATAAATTAATATAATTACTTATGGAGAATTCAATAATCTAAAGACATAATGACAGTGACTGAGTGCAAATATTAAATGGTTGGCACGTTAAGAGGCTTTAAAGCCGTATTTCGTTGTAATGATAAACTTTTAACTAAACAATTAATTATGTAAATTAATTAATTAAATGCAAATAATGGCAATATTTTATGATTCACGAATTTTGCTGTTTCGTAATCATTCACTGTAAGATACGCGCAAGATGACACGTGACACTACAGGGATACTTGCTAAAGCTCTCAAAACTAAATAATCGTAATTGGAAAAATTTACTAAGGTACATACATAAAGTGGTAGATAATATATATAAATTATAAATAAGGTGTTCAAACAATTATGCAAGCACCCATTATGTGATGTGATATTGACATGGTGCACCTATCCTAAACTTTAGACAATAAACTGGAATGATACTTTTTCAAGAATGTTATGTTCATACAATATAATCTTTTAGATAATATAAACAATCAACAAATTAATAAGTGTTGTGTTCCTTGGAGAAGCATATTTATACTACACCACGTTAACACCGTGCTCTATAAAGGAATCAAGGCTTAAATTAAATGGAAAAGAACATTGGTGTAAAAATGAAAGCGAAAGCAGAAGAATGGTTGCATAATTGTTTGCGCGCGCGTAGTTGGCTTCCTACTTTAACTAAATGAATTCATATCTAACATTGTTCCCGAGCTGGTCCCACCCATGACGATGGCTTGTATATGCAACTTACTCTCTTTGTATATGAAAAAGGCAGTGTTTTACTTTTAAACACTGATTCTACAGGTAAAAAAAAATCAAAATATTTCTAACCCATTGATTTTTTTATTAATTAATTTAAAGAGAGATACAAGCATGTTTCCGTGCTTTATTTTGCACTTCAAAAACATTGGAATGTCACTTATTTTGATTTGGGAAATAGTTATTATGAATTAGAAACGAAACTAAGAGGATTTCAGCAAGCAACACTTAAAGATTTTACCTCATATTGGTTACCATTGTAGGTCGTAGTAAATTTCACTCACTATGCAGAATGTGCACGATCACGTGTTTCAAGCATTTGATTTTGTTGACAAACAACACATTTTCCTTATTATTTTCCCTTAAAAATTTAGTCATCGGGCGGAATGCAGAAATCCACAACTATGTTGAGTTTTATAATATTATTATGATTCGTTCCTTATATACATATGTATTATGAATAAGTAAGATATGCCACAGTAATATAAAATGAATTAATTATTAATATGAGCTTAGTATGCCACTGCGCACGCGGTGATAAACGAACGCTCAACACAAAAAAGTTAACACAAATCGGTAATCTAACGAAACAACTAGCGATACAAACATTTCGTATCAATTATTAAGTACTAGTTACTAATATAATTTATAAAAAGTCACACGGTCTTCACACACATCAACACTATGTGTTTCACAACATTATCAATGATTACATCTAGTCTCTACTAAGTAAGTCACCATCGTGGAAGATCAAGTCACTGAATCGACTAGCTTACGTTGCCCCACATGCTACTTAGTAGCACTTTACATTTTAAATGTCGGTACTTAAGTAATGCACCTTTTGAATATTCAAATGACGTTGTAATAGCACAAGTTAGTGTTACGTTTCGGTCGCACCAGCGCCGTTTGGAGATCACAGGGTAGGGGGGTTAGAGAGCGACAGGTGTGCGCGTGCGTGCGTGCGTGTGCGTGTCAGGTGGCGTCGAACTCGATGCGCTCCCACGAGTAGTGCTTGGTGGCGGGGCGCGGCGCCGGGCGCGCCAGCACGCCGCCCAGCAGCGGGTCGCACTGCGGCACGTGCCCGCGCCCGAACAGGTTCGGGATCAGCTCCGTATCCATGTCGTAGCCGTCGCTGTCCATGTTCATACTGCCGCCGAGGCTCTCGAAGTCTTTCAGGTCGAACTCGCAGGGCCGATCGTCGTAGGCGCCGTGCCTCGAGTCCTCGTTCTGGAAGGACGGCAGCGACAGGTCGTCCATATCCTCGAAGCCGGTGCGGTTGTGGTCCAGTATATCGCCGTTGGTCAGTGGCGTCATACTCATACGTTCGGGCGCGTCGTCGACGATGTCCATTGCCATTTGCGGCTTCTCGTCGCACTCGCCCGAAAGCAGCCTCCCGAAGAAGTCGTCGTTGTTATCGGAGGTTTGATCCGTCGTGAAGCTTGAGTGGAAATCGTTGTTCGCTAGCAGTTCGACGCTCAAATCGGGGTCGATATCGGCCGCGGTCGGGTCGATGTCACATTGGCTCGGTTTGCTCACCGCATGCATGTCGGCATGGTTCATGATTTCATTTTGTATATCATTCAGCTCCCGTTGCAACTCGTCGGCGGCGAGTGAATCGCGTACGTGTGTATCACCCAGAACGTCGTCATTCAAAACGTCGGCAGGCGAGAAATCGTTCGATCCGGTCGTTAAGTAACCGGGATTGATTGGCCGGTCGACTGCTACGTCTTCGACCGCTGACGGGGGCAACTCGCCGTTTTCCACGAGAATCTCCAACACATCGTCCATGATTCGGCTGTCCTCGCTGTCGTGTAATAAGGGTGTCTGCGGCATGGGTGGTGGAGGAGGGGGAGGGGGAGGGGCCGCGCGCTCCGGCTCATAGTGCGTGGGTAGGATAGCTATCGGGACGACTTTAACGCCGTTGAGTATGTAAGCGGGGTTGGTTTTGGTTTGAGTGTCGGTTGTTTCAGGTGTAGCGGCGGGAGGGGTTACAGTGAAGAGGCGGACGAGGCGGTCGGGGGGTGCGTCGGCGAGGAGATAACGCGGGGGTGGTTTTAAAGCATCAAGTTGTGCGCGAAGTTGCGACACGCAGAGATGCGCTTGCAACAGCCGCCGGCTTTGGTCACTAGCGGCCGCTCCCGCTGCTTCCCGCCGCACCGCCTCCAACTGCTGTCGGGACGCTTCCAGTTTCCGTTCCAACTCCTCGATTTGTCGCCGTTGCGACTGGACTATATCCTCTGGCGGCTCCAAGTCCCTCGTTTCAGGGGACGCAACTGATGCTGGCGATTTCGGCGCCTCCTCTAGCATCTCCGTCAGATAAGGTCGCAGACGGTCGATCAGCTGCGGCTTCGGGCCGGACACTCTTAAGTTGCGACGCTTGCATTCGGCCCGAAGGTCGGACACCTTCATGTCTTCGAAGCGGCCGGAGGGGAGGGCCGCGGGTAGGGGTGGGGGCGGCGGGGGAGCGGGGAACGCGTCCGACGAGTCCGACGCGACGGACGAGGGCGCGGGCGAAGCCGGCAGCAGTAGCGGACAACTGAGTTGCAACAATAGCTGCTGTTGCTGCAGGAGCAACTCATACGGCGTCTCCACAGAACCAGGCGGCGACGAGGCCTTTTGCGCATTCGGCGGTCCCTTGTATTCGTGAAATTTCAATCTTGACTTCTGCTGCTGTTTCTGTTTACTCTTTTTACGATTTTTGTCCTTTCCCGGTGCGGGGTGCTGTGGTGGGGATGCGACGCTCGCGGGCGATAGTGTTGATGGTGGCGACGGAGAAGGTGAAACCTCGTCGGGAGGCCCGCAATATGATGAAGGGTGCTGAGGCCGCCCCGAAGCACCTTCACTTGTTGCTTTAAACGCTAATGTCCCACTCTTAACAGCTGTTTCTATGTTCTCTTCCGTATGTAAAATATTCTTCTTTATGAGCTCGAGAGGTCCGGGCCTATGAGATAACTGGTCATTTAGCTGGTCGGCCAATCGTGCTTTCTTTAACATTCGCTGCTTTTCCGCCAAGCTTGGATCAACATGACTTTCCTAAAAGAAGAGAAGTAATTTAGTTTTGTATACATATACATAAATGTGCAGTGACGGATCAGTAAGTGAAGTGACAATGGTTCTCGATGGTTCTGGAAACCCCCCCCCCCACTATATGGAGTAACGACCTGGTAAAAGATGCAGGAAGTCGATGGATTCTGGTGACTTAGGACCGTGCTTTGTGGCATTTCTTGGGGGATGCCTGTGTTCAGCAGTGGACTTGTGATGGTCTGTAATGATGATGAAGATGATGATGATGATAAACGCAGTATACAAGATAAACAGTAAAACGTACTTGTTCCAAAATATGCCTTCGTTCTAATTCTTGACGATCTGGTCGTCGTTGTATTTTTGCTTTTAGTAAATCCCCGGTTTTTGCTCTTTCTAACTGCTTACATTGTTCAAAATAAGCAGCCGGTGTATTGAGAGCTGAAAAAGTTGTATTTAGCATGTTAATAAAAAATAATACATTTAAATATGTACAAGAGATAGTTAGGCGAAATCTTTACTGTTCGAATAGAGCAAAGAGTATGATGGGAGTATAATATGGAGCGAAAAAATTCCATTAGTTCATAGAGTTGAGATCGTAAAATTCCTTCACCCACGCGCACGCGTTCCGTCGCGCTGTTGCTGGCGGGCGTCTCCCAAAATTCGTCACACAAACAATTACTAATTGTTCTGCTTACAGAAATGCTTTTATAAATATATAACAATGACTATGATTTTAAATTGTTTATTGCATGTCACATTACAAATTTAAGATGATACATTATTGACAGGTATACAAATTAAAGAATAGTAAGAAGTACATTATAGATATTGATAGGATATATAACGCAAGGGCATAGATAAGAGGGCTAACGATTTTTAAATTAATATTATAACACTTACGGGGCATTATTCCTTGAGCTACCAGTTGGTTGAGCGGACGCCTCATCGTCAGCTTTACTTTTAATGCTGCAAAGCGAGGAATAAACAGTTTTATTAACTCGACAACAATCCTCTAACATATACAATATCTTAATAACTAATTTAACATTTTTTCCTCAAGGGATTGGAGCTGGCGCCGTGTTTACGATCATAACAAAACAAAATAATAAAACTGGCTGTCCACAGAGTGTGTCCAGTGACGTTAATCATTTTGAAATAACATATTGTGAACGTTTCCTTTTTCATACAACAATAGGGCTTAATTGAATAGGCCAGGCGTTTGTGCAGAGGTCTACGCTGTGACGCCAGGTGACGAATTTCTACGTAACATATGGAGTAATGTAGACGACGCGATCGATACGTCGATACGATCGAAGTTTATGATTATTTCGATAGAGTTGGTCGATGAGCGTAGGCGAATCCATGCTCTTGTTTGCTCGTAGACAGGCGTGAGCAGCGAGCAGCGAGCAGCGAGCAACGAGCAATGGGCGGACAACGCTGGCGCGAAGCCAATATAAATAAACACTGCACAGGGAAACTAGTGTTATGCCGCGACCGTATTACAGACGAAACATTCACTACCACTGGGCCGAATATTGTGGGTTACTGGGCCTCTTATTTACGCTTCTATCCTGTCTTCGCACATCATTTTGTAGCAGTTAGCACACATTTAACCAACTTAACAGTTATAACTTTTAATAAAAAGTAAAAACAGACTTCAAATTGCTTAAAAATAAATTATTTATTTGCTACCCTTGGGGGTGGAATTTTATCTACAAATTTATATGGAACCACCTACATGAAGTATAACATAGGTATTTAATAAAAAAGAATAACTAAAATCGGTTGTCAATCTGCGAAGATATAATAGGAAATTCCTTAAACAATAGTCTAATATGAAACTTTTTTCCTTATTTTCTACCCTTAGGGCGGCATTTTTTCTTCAAAATTTAATGGGATCACCCTTAAGGTAAAGCCTATTAAAAAATCATTAAAATCGGTTCACTTCTGCGAAGAGATCGCATAACATACAAACAAAAAACTTACATATATACAATGTGTTAATTTTACACTTGATCAAACGAAATGTGCGGATACTAGATAAAAAATTATCGGTAAAAAATCGAAAAAAAATTTTTTAATGTAAACTGTTTAAAAAATAAAAGCATTTGAATTTTTTTTTTGTTAAAATTCCCATCCTTCGATTTTAAATTATTTTCTCTTTAAGTAAACGGTGTATTTTTTTCAAAGTAGTTTTATTTGGAAGTTAGAAAGATTAACTAGCAACAAAAATTAAAAAAACCTACGATATCAAGCAGGAAATTTGTCAAAAAAATAATAATATAATTTTTTTTGTAAAAAAAATACTTTTCTTTTTAATTTTTGGTCTGTAACTTCAAAACTAGTACATTGAGATAACCTTTTTAGCATGTTTTATTAAACTACGTAGCTTATTGTACAAGTTCTCCAAAATAATATGCGTTCTATCTCTTTTCATTTTTAAAATAATAATCATCAAAGAATGCCATCGGTATGTTGATTTGCGCTTATGCGCCCCACCTACCTCTAATTTGAACACCCCTGGTCGAACAATAGCAGGTAAAGATAAAAAGAGATAGATCAATGAAAGGCGAAACAAGTGAGTGAGAGAGTGAATTGTCGTTTGAATGAAATTTGGGTCTCGTTCTCGTAAGGCATGCAGGCAGCTTTAGCTATTTTAAACAGTTCATCTTGTAACGTTACCTAATTTGCACGTTGAATACGCTCACCATTTTTTTCGTCGTTATGCCTTCTACGATAGACTCATTGTCTGCTCGTGAAGTAGCTGACATTCATTACATTTACGGGTTTTGTGATGGCAACGCTCGCGCCGCCTCTCGAGAGTATCATCAGCGATTCCCGACAAGACCTGCCGTTGACTACAGGGTTTTCTTAGCAGTACATCGAGAATTAAGTGAAAATGGACTGCATCGCCCACATCGTGAACGTGCTTCTACTGTACCGGTGGATGTGGATGAACAAGTGTTGCGTTTGGTGTACCAAGACCCCACAATTAGTACTCGACGAATAGCACTCCAATTGGGGATTAATCACGTCCAAGTGTGGAAAATTTTGAAAAAGGAATGTTTGTACCCTTTTCATTTTCGAAGAGTGCAGAATTTGCACGAGCCAGATTACGTCGGAAGAAGTGTTTTCTGTTCGTGGCTATTGCGGCAAAGACGATTAGTCCCGAAATTCTGTGACCGTATTTTGTGGACCGATGAGGCAAATTTTAACAGAACTGGAATCACAAATTTTCGAAACCTTCACTTGTGGATGCCGGAGGAAAAAAATCCCTTAGCAGTTCGGCCAGCGTCCTTTCAAATCGAATTTTCGATTAATGTTTGGGCTGGAATGATAAGTGATTACTTAATCGGACCATTTATTCTTCCGTCAAGGTTGACAGGCCCAGCTTACCTAACATTTCTACAAGAAGAGTTACCTGACCTGATGAGTGATGTGGATCTACAAACAAAGAGGAAGATGTGGTTTCAGCATGACGGCGCTCCAGCTCACTTCAGCACCATCGTGCGTGATCATTTAAACGAACTATACGGAGACAGATGGATTGGACGAGGCGGACCAGTAGCGTGGCCGGCACGAAGCCCTGATATGACCCCCCTAGATTTTTTTTTGTGGGGCCACATGAAACAGATTGTGTACAGTACTCCAATTAGTACAAGAGAAGAATTGTTACAAAAAGTAATGGCTGCGGCTAGTCAAATAAAAGAAAATCGTACTGTATTAAAAAAAACAGTACGCAGTGTGGCATTACGTTCAACTGTATGTATGGATGAAAATGGTGGTCATTTTGAAAATTTAATAAATTAAATCATTTTTCTACGGTTTCTTTTGTTTTATTCCATAATTTTGACAATTAAATCATTATTAAATCACTTTTGAATTTTGTGCTCAGATTACCTACCTTATTTTTAGTGATTATCTTAACAACGAAAAAAGATAGAACGCATGTTATTTTAGAGAACTTATACAGTAAGCTACGTAGTTTAATAAAACATGCTAAAAAGGTTATCTCAACGTACTAGTTTTGAAGTTACAGACCAAAAATTAAAAAGAAAAGTATTTTTTTAACAAAAAAAATTATCTTATTATTTTTTTGACAAATTTCCTGCTTGATATCGTAGGTTTTTTTAATTTTTATTGCTAGTTAATCTTTCTAACTTTCAAATAAAACTACTTTGAAAAAAATACACCGTTTACTTAAAGAGAAAATAATTTAAAACCGAAGGATAGGAATTTTAACAAAAACAAAATTCAAATGCTTTTATTTTTTAAACAGTTTACATAAAAAAATTTTTTTTCGATTTTTTACCGATAATTTTTTATCTAGTATCCGCACATTTCGTTTGATCAAGTGTAAAATTAACACATTGTATATACACTCGAATTAATAATCTCCTCCATTTTGAAGTCGGTTAAAAAAGGACGATGATTAGAGATTAGAGACCGACATACATACGAGTAGGATGGTCGATATGGACCTACAAGTAACGTAACGTACGTATTGTTACGCGCCACTATTAATGTCTTGTACATGGCAACACTAGTTACACCAGCGCCCCCTAGTGTCGAGTAAATGAAAGTATTGCGCACCACTATTAATGTCTTGTACATGGCAACACTAGTCACACTAGCGCCCTCTAGTGTCGAGTAGCAGAACTAGGAGAGTCGAGATCCTTCCAGAAATTTCGGGACCGATATGTACTCGAACATTCTAGATGTCGCTACAGTAGAAGGTTCTGGAAACTATCTGAGGCCCTATATAAGACCGGTATAGACCACGACCGGGGCAGTATTGAATTGGCGATACAAGAGAATACTTCGAAACGAAATAACGGCGAACTGTGTTTTATTATTAGTGTGATTTTAGATTGTAATTAGTGTTGTGTAATTAAAGTGTTAATTTTGGTAATTCAATCGGCAGTTTTTAATTGTCTCGAACCCCAAGCTCGTAACAATTGGTGTCAGAAGTGGGATCAAATATGCCGATTTTACCTAAAGACGACACGGAGGGTATCCGTACCCGAAGTCAACGCCAACAGGAGACGGACCAGAGACGATTTGGTAATGCAACGCCGCAAACGTCGGAGGGCCAGTTGCTAACCACGGAGGCTGGCCCGTCAGCAACTCCTGCATCTGCGGCACCTGACTTAGGTGCTCTGATGATGATGCTGCAGGATCAGGCTCGCCGACAGGAGGAACAGGCCCGCCGACAGGAGGAACAGACCCGTCGGCTGGAAGAGCAGCTGCAGCGCGGTATGGAAGAACAGATGCTCCTCAGGAAGGACCTTCACGCTACCTTCGGGAAAGAGATAAAGGAGGTGAAGGATAGGGTTGCTCAACATGACAACCGCCTGTCGGAAGCTGAAACCCGAATCGACCAAGTGAACAATCGGGTTGACAACGTGATGGCTGATGTGAAGAAAACGCTGGACGACCTCAAACTTGGGGATGGAGTTACAGCTCCCGTGGTAGCTACAACACCTTCGCTACGTGGATTCAAAGTGCCACCGTTCGACGGGACTTCTTCCTGGTCGGCCTATAAAATCCAGTTCGAGGCTGTCATGAAAGCGAACGGCTGGAATAAAAGTCAGGCCATGACTGCTCTCACCTAGGCCTACGCGACCAGGCCTTAACTGTTTTGGAAGCGCTCGGTAAGGAAGTGACTTACGAGCAGCTTCTTGAGGCATTGGAGGCGAGATATGGCGATGCTCACCTGGAACACGTCTTTCGTGCGCAGCTCAAAAATCGCGTGCAACGCAGTAACGAAAACCTGCAGCAGTGGGCCCTTGAGGTGGAGAAGCTGGTTCGAAAAGCGTACCAGTCTGTACCTGTGCTCATTGTAGGGAACCTGGTGCAGACTTTCATCGACGGCATCCGCGACCTTGAAGTCAGAGCTGCTGTGAGGCTCGGGCACCACCAGACGCTTAAGGACGCCCTGACCCATGCACTGGAGGTGGAAGCCG